AACGGTTCTGAAATACTCAATAATTGAATTCTAGAAGTCTATGAACTCCCACTGAAGTAAATAAAATAGTATTAAACAGTGGATCGCGAGGACAATCTTCTGAATCGACTTCCCAATAATTCTTCCACGTGAAACTCGGAACTGCTGCGGTTTCAAACCCGGTGTTTATTTGTTACCGTAATCCACGTTCGCGTGAACCGGTTCTAAACAGCTTCTCGCGTAATATCGTAATTATACGTTATCCGTAGCGAAATATTGACGAGGAACAACAAGTCTACGAGTTAGTGGGTTATTTACACTTGAACGCATTATCTATTAATCCAGTTACGCTTGACACTGAGTTCATCGTACTAATTCGGGCAGAATTAATTCGACCTACAGAGTGTTATTAAACATATATAGGCCACGAATGTGAGAAATACTCAGCGATCAAATGATATATGTAACTGTATGATATATGGTTTAAGTAACGTTTAAGTATCACGAACCAACAGGGAAACATTCATTCATTGACCTTGGCGAAACATGTTTTTTTGGTAATCATCGCTGCATCGATCTCCTGAAAATAATTGTTCAGGGCATTCGAAAATGTTTTGGCATCTTCAGTAAATAAAATTCGTTCATAAAAAGAATGTGTTGTTTTTCTATTTTTTAATTTTGTAATGATTACTGAAGGGGTTAAGGAAATCTGTCTAAATTAAATGATAGGTTTGATATTTTCAAATAAATGTTTCATTATAAATATGTACATGAATAAACTTTACACTTGTATATATTTATAATGAAATATTTCTTTGAAAATATCAAACCTATCATTTGATTTAAACAAATTTCTTTAATAGACGTAGAAATTACGAATATTTATGGGATTGATTGTACATATATACTAGAATCTATCGTAAAGTATAGCTATAAGTTGATGTAATGTTGTTCACGCAATCAAAAACAAGTTTCTTTTCGAAATCTTCAGGTTCAGCTCCTGTATCCCCAACCAGGCCACGTGGAGATAGACCCAGACGAGTTATGGAGGATCATAGTAAAAGTAATCAAGACCACTATAGAAGGTAATATATTTATTCGATAGCTGATCTTAAGGAAACGATCTACGCATTGACCGAAGTTACATGTTCATCAATCACAGACAGCGGAATAAAACCAGAATCCATTGGCTGCCTCGGAATATCCACGCAACGAGGAAGTTTCACAACGTGGAACACGAAGGATGGGAGACACTATCACAAGTCAGTACAGACCCTCTTTGTTCTCCCTGCTATGCGTTTAATTTTAATATCAGCCTTTCATGTCAATGACCAGTTGTCGTGTATTTCAGCTTCATAACGTGGAAAGATCTCCGCGCTGACGATATGGTGAAAGAATGGAACTCCTCCGCGACAATGAAAGGGCTGCGATTAGGGTCGCAGATTTTGTACACGCTCTCCAGGAGGAAACGATTCCTGGCTGCGAGTGTTTTTAAATTCATGAACACGCAGGTTCGTTTCCTTAGATACCTTGTTCGCGTATACTTAGAACTTGGGAATATTGAGGAATCGGTTACGAAACACTCTTGAATTTCTTTACGAAAGATGTAATGACCTACAAGCTTATGACCTTGGATATCAATTATTTCATTTCATTTCATGATTTATCGACGCGTTCGTCTGGTACATGGCAGTCTAAAAACCATCATGGTTTGAATAAAAAACAATTGAGCTACACAGTAATGTAAAAGTATGTAAAAGTAACTTGATTTTTTTATTTACACTATTACGATTCTTAAATTTTCTTTTCCTTAATCATTTCGAAACCACTCGAGTACTTTGATTTCCGTGCTGTTTATTTTCAATCGTTTATTTTACACTGAAATTTAGATGTCTCTGAGGTTATTATGGGCCCTGCAACACGTGGCAGGTTTACAGGAGGCAGCGAACAATGGAAATGCAGTTTTCGGAGGGGTTGATTGCTGGCTTTTGTATAAACTTACCGGTACGAAACCAAACATGTTAAAAAAAAAAAAAAAACAACCACGTTATTCATCATACGTGAATGAAATTGTATAACCAGATCGTCGCGTTCAACGTCGACAGGAAGGACATTCTGCTGAGCAATTGTTTTCTGCAATGTGTTTTCTTCATAGGGAAGCACGTGACGGACATCTCAAGCGCATCAGCAACCGGAATTTACGATCCATTCACGATGACCTGGTCCAATATAATAATAAACCTGCTGAAACTCCCGCATAATATCTTTCCTGAAGTGGTGGACACAACTGGAGATTTTGGGGTGACTCCAAAGGAAATATTCGGTGTCGAAATCCCGATACTTTGCTCGGTAAATTCTTCCATAATTACTTTAATACGTTGACTCCTAGACCTAGTACACTTGAAAATTTCCTCTGCGATTAAATTTTGTTTATAGACTATTGGAAACTGGGCAATCAAACATTTATCGTAGTATTTATTTTTGTGACTTCGTCGAAATTCGAGAATTTCGTTCGAATTTATTTTCATTAATAGTTAACTTTGAGATTTAATTTTATTACTCATGGTTGACATGGCGATGAAATTTATTTTCTTTAACAGTTAACTTTCAGAATTAATTTTATTACATATGGGTGACATGGCGATCAACGTGTTAATGTGTCGTTACTTTTATTTTAACCTGTTTACAATAGAAGATTGTTAAATAATGCAATGTTCTGTAGTATCAAATATGGAATACCTTTTTTTCTGACGAAAATTTATTTATTTATTTATTTATTTATTTATTTATTGCTTTTAAACCGAATATGGTTTATATAACATATACGTTACATGAACATATTGCTTAACATCTTAATGCGCCTTTTTTTACATAGATTAACTTAAAACTAGTTTGTATAGCGTCTGTATGCTTACATTATTTTAATGAAATGAAATGAAATAATAATAATAATTATTATTTAATCTAAATTTGACGAGAATATTATTTGACTCTGACGAGAATCTTATTTAAAGTAGATGGCAGATCAGTGTGCGTCGCTGTTTGGTTCAGGATGCACGGAGCCAGGAGATTTGAAGATTACCATGGGGACAGGGACATTTTTGAATGTTAACACGGGAACAAAGGCGCACGCTTCTATCACAGGTAATTATACACCAACTACAATCTACCTAAGAATATATCTACCTAGGAATAAAATTCCTGAACCATCTGCTTCATCGCGCATCTTATTACATTCTTTCCCATTTTTCAACAGGTTTATATCCTGTAATCGGATGGAGAATTCGCGATGAACTGGTGTATGTAGTAGAGGGTGCATCGAACGACACTGGAGTCCTCGTGGAATGGGCTAAAAAGATTGGTAACTGTATTAATCGTACAGCAAACGCAGAGTAGTTCTCTTAATAATGAAAATAAAATTAACAGATGGATTGTTTTTTAATAAAATTCAATGTATGTTTCCCGACAAGCCTCGAATTTTAAAGACGCAGTTTGTTTCAGGCATCATTACCGATCCTTCTGAGACTTCGAGCATAGCAAGCGCCTTGAACGATTCCGATGGAGTATACTTTGTGCCAGCTTTCAGTGGACTGCAAGTACGTTTAGTTAAAATGATCGTTTAGTGAAATGATTGAAAAGAGAATTCTTCCGCCGAGTATAATTCACATAACATGTCATGACCTTTTTACAGGCTCCTATCAATGATTACTCTGCAGCTACTGGGTTCGTCGGGATAAAACTCACGACAGAGAAGGGTCACATCGTTCGGTCCTTGCTGGAAAGTATCGTCTACAGGATATT